ATTTTATGTCTTATAGGGTTTATACTGAGTACAATATTGTATAACTTCCGATCTTCAAATGTAAACCTAAAAATTTATAGCCAATTTTGAAGATGTACCCTAGCTCAGAAAAATGTTATTGAATAGGTTAATCCTGTTGTAATGAAATGCTTCTTTTAATTAAAATAAAAAAAAAAGTGGCTGGGCATGGAGGTGCATGCCTTTAATCCCAGCACTTGGGAGGAAGAGACAGGTGGATCTCTGAGAGTTCAAGGCTAGTCTGGTGTACAAAGCAAGTTTCAGACCAGCTGGGGCTATAGGGAAACCCTGTCTCAAAAATATTGAAAAAAAAAAAGCTTTGGGGTAGGCTGGGGTTGGGAGTGGTAGCACATGCCTTTAGTTCTAGAGGCAGCAGCCTGTGAGATCTAGGAGATCAAGGCCAGCCTGGTCTACAAAGTAAGATCCAAGCCAGCTGGGGCTACAAGGAGACCCCATCTCAAAAAAAATCAAACAAAAAACCCCTAACAAACAACCATGTTTCGGGGCCAGCAAGATGGCGCCTTACTGTGTAAGATTCATTTCAATCCCTGGGACCACATGGTGAAGAGAGAACTGACTCCTTCAAGTTGTCCTCTAACCTCCAATGCACACAGACCCTCCGCCCATGTATTTTAACACATGCCTTAAAAATGTCCCCCTTTTTTTTTTTTTTTTGGCCTTTTTGAGATAGGGTCTCCCTGTAGCCCCAGCTGTCCTGGAACTATGTAGACCAGGCTGGCCTTGAACTCACAGAGATACGTCTGCCTCTGCCTCTGCCTCCTGAGTGCTGGGATTAAAGGCGTGTGCCACCACGCCTGGTTTAAAAATGTCTTTTTTAAAAAAATATTTTATTTTTATTTCATGTACATGAGTGTATTGCCTGCATGTGAGTACGCCCGTGTTGTGCAATGCCTTGGAGGTCCAAAGAGGGCTTCGGATTCCCCTGGAACTGGAGTTAAGGACAGTTTGTAGCCACCATGTGGGTACTGGGAGGAGGAAAAAAAAAAAGTCCTTTTCTGAGCTGAGTATAGTGGCACACACCTTTAATCCCAGCATTCAGGAGGCAGAGGCAGGCAGATATCCCTGAGATCAAGGCCAGCCTGGTCTACATAGTGAGTTCCAGGCTAGTTGTAGATACAGGGAAACTGTTTCAAAAAACCAAAAATAAAAATTATTGTGTACACACATGTTCATGTGGGCTTGTGCACATGTGTATTGAGGCTACAACACTAAGTATTGCCCTCCACTCTCCACCTTGCACCTATCGCATATATTTTCGGTGGGGGGGGTGTCTCTCATTGAATCTAGAGCTCATCAACTTTGTTGGACTGGCTGGCCAATGCAATGAGCTGCAGGGATCTACCTGTCCCTACTAGATAGCTTCATCTGTCAACTTGACAGACCTAGGTAGGAGGAGCCTCAACTGGAAAATTTCCAATATTGGACTGGCCTGTGGCCATGTCTGTGGGGTATTTTCTTGAATGCTGAATGATACAGGAGGACCCAGCCCACTGTGGATGGTGCCATTCCTGGGGCAGGTGGTTCTGTATTGTATAAGAAAGCAGGCTGAGCAGGGGCTAGAGGAGCAAGCCAGTAAGCAGTGTTCCTCCATGGACTGTGCTTCAGCTCCTGCCTCCAGGTTCCTGCCCTGAGTTCTTGCCTTTGGCTCCCTGATGAACAGTGAACTGGGAGATATGAGCCTTTTAAATAAACCCTTTCGCCCCCAAGTTGGTATTGGTCAGAGTATTTTGTCACAGCAAATAAACTAGAACACCAATGCAATGAGCTGTATGGATCTACCTGTCCCTACCCAACCCCCAGGGCTACGGTTTTACAGGCACATACACACAGAGACACACACACACAGACACACAAAACGTCTGGCTTTTAGGAGGATGTGGAAATCTGAACTCAGTCCTCATGCTTGCTGGACAAGGACTTTACTGACTGAGCGATCTCCCCGCTTTTTACTATTTTATGTGTATGACTGTATTGTTTGCATGTGTGCAATGCCTACAGGGGCAGAAGATGGCGTCAGATTTCCCTGGAACTGAAGTTATGGACAGCTCTTAGCTGCCATGTGGGTGCTGGAAACCAAACTCAAGTCCTCTGCAAGAATTGCCAGTATTCTTAACTGCTGAGCCATCTCATCAGGCCTATAACCAAACTTTAAAATGATTTTTTAGAATTCTGTAACAAAATACATAAAAGCTAAGTAAATCCAATCAGAAGAGAACCTGACACCACATGGATACATGTGAACACTGTAGGTGTTTAAAGCTGTTACTCTAAACTCAAAAGGCTGGCTATGAAATTTAGAACACTGCAGTCATCCGACCAACTTCCTAGCAATCCAGATTCAGGCACACAGGAGGTTCTGTGGGGACAAACAGCCACAACAGCTACAGTGACCTTCATGGAACATAGCAGGTTGCAGATTCTGATAAACCAGGGAAAATGCTCAAAAGCTGTGCCCCAACCTAATTATGTCCCTGTGAGCTGAGCAGTCCTGCAAGCTACATCTGCACCAAGAGAAGGAAGAGCTCCTCCAAACAGACATTCACGTGCGTAATCAGTGGACTTCACACTCCACTGTCATCATCACTAAGTCTGTCTCAACAGGTACATGCACAGTAAGTTAATTCAGGACAGAACCTGGGTCCTTTTATTGATTGATGGATTGAATGATTGAGACAGGGTCTCCCCACAGCCACAGCTGGCCTGGAACTCACTACAGACCAGGCTGGCCTTGATCTCACAGATCCTCCTGCCTCTGCCTCCTGAGTGCTGGGATTAAAGATGTGTGCCACCAGGTCTGGCCAGAGATTGGGTTCTTTTAAACTTAACAATTCTTATGTTTTAAAGTATGTAAGACTTCTTATTCCAGTTTTATACTTATAAAGCACAAAACTTCTATCTCTGAAGGAACTCCAACTAAGGGCTCAGGGGGCATTCCAGTTTTCATCAGTAACTGAACACTCCCCCAGGCCAGCATTGTATCAAAAAGTTTTGATTTTCAAAAAGCACCATTGTGTAAAGCTTTTTTGTATGTGTTGCTGTTGTTCTGAGACAGATCTCATCATATAGCTCAAGCTAAACTGGAATTCACTATGTATACTTAGCTGGCCTTGAAGTTGTGCTATCAGATCCAGCTGCTGCCGTTTTTTTTTTTTTCTTTTTTTTTCCCCCCCTTTTAAGACAGGGTCTCACGATGCAGTCCTAGCTCTGCCTGGCTGGAGCTCCCCATGTAAACCTATATAACAAAGACTCACCTGCCTCTGCCTTGCCTCCCAGACTGCTGGGACTAAAGGTGTGTACCACCATGCCTGGCTTTTGCTTGTTTTTTTTTTTTTTTATTGCACTCAGGATATTTGGAAGTCCTAAAACATTTCTAACTATCTCAGCTGGGAAGGGTGCTACTGCAAAGGCCATGAATGCTGCTCACCATCAACATCCTGGCATGTACAGATCATCTGCCTACCACACTCAT